CCATAGATTTAGTATATACCAAATCTATGGTCGAATCCAAGAATCTGTTCAATCTACGAGTCATAAAGTGCCGAGTCACGAATATGCCTAATCCAGAATTTAAGTATAGTTGGGCTAATTTTCAGTAGTTAAAAAAAATTTCAATAGCGGAAATTTTTCCGGAAAATTTTCAGAAAAATTGGAAAAATATAATTCGAAGCGTCATATTATGTTCTACGTTTTTTTAAGTTTTACTTAGAGTGAATTATAAAATAAAATTGTATAGCTAAAAGCAAGTTCAGAATAAAAATTCTTCAACAGTCAACAACGAATTATAGGTAAAAAATCTATTATAATGGCACCATCGTTTTTGTTCACTATCTTGAACTATTGACAGGTGTCAACTGTGGAAAAATATTCGGAAAAGTATGAATTTTTCCAAATCGAAGTTTATCTATGACCCAACACTGATTATATTATCATTAATTAATTAGTTGCGGTTGTTTACAAAGAATTTATTAATTAATATTTTTTTCACAACTAATAATTGCAGCATTGTTGTTTTTCATGTTTTTTTTTTGTTCAGACCAGTTTCGAGAAAGCAATGTCGGCTACACATTCATCTAGAGCTTCCATAAGATCCACCATTTCTTGATTGCAATTTTCTGCCGTGTACCGTCTCTTCTTATGGACTCTTATAGTGCATTCTTTCAACTCCAGGAAATACTTTCTAACTTCGCAGTTAGCTGGACAAAAGAAATAAAAAAACAATCATCTCTGAAACAGTTAACAGTCAAGTGTGTAACCAAAACAAGAATAAAAACAAAATGAATGTTAAAATGGTGATTCGGGGGAATGTCTAATTTCTCATCTTCCAATGAATTCAGTAATGTGCAACAAAAGACCTTGCTTTAAAAAATGTGAAGCAAAAATGTATGCCAGAGTCGTGTCAAGTCGGAGTTAAGTGTGGGAGTAAGTCTTGGGTGTACCCTATTTCGAGACAATGGATCCTTTCGGTATTTAGATAAACATTTTGTGAAAGTAGATGCTTTCTGAGTAAATGTGGGGGTGCTCGGAATTATAATTAATTTGTACGTATTGATTGTTTCAAAAACATTCGAAATGCTTAAAAATAAAAAAATACGCACTTTCAAGACATTTTCCGCGTTCACTCTCAAGCTGGTCTTCAGATTGCTGCAACAAAAGATAACAAAATAGAACTGCGTCGATTCGCCTTAAATCAGTCAGAATCGGTGCCAAGTGTCACTTAATTGTAATGCACCAAGACTACGAATAAGTTTCCGGCTATTGTGCTGACACATTGTATAAGTAAATAAAAATAAAAACAATTATAATGTCTTTTGATCCTAGACAGTGTACTCAAGACGCTTAGCTTGGGCCACAAACGAAATTCCGAAGAGTTTGTCTGAATGCAGGATGAATTGATTTGTAGACAATATTAGTCCAATAAGGACATATTAGTCCTCGTGCTCCTACCAGTATGAGCACCCAATAGAAGCATAAGGAAACGGCCTGAAAATATTTGGTTACCACACCATACTCATAAAAATTGAGAATGGACTGGTTTTACTTCTACAGTAGAGATTCCCTGTATGCATGTTATGTAGACGTATATCTAGTGTGTAAGTAAGGTCTGGTAAAAGGGTATTTTTACGTACTTACACGTAAAGTAAAAATATCACATATTAAAAATTCAGGTATAAAAATATTTTTTCTTTCATTAATAAGAAAAAGTATTCGTAAAAATTTTATTATATGAAAACCTGTACTTTAATTTAATTTTCTACATAATTGCCACCAATTAATGCCGGGCCTTAGATGGGTGACACTAGCACAGGATCGTGGTGGATGGCACAAAATATGGCAGACCACCCAGCAGTGGGTGAAGTCGGGCTGTGGATTATGATGATTAAAATATATTTACAATAAATCATAGTTGCTTCAAAGCAGAGATAATTTCTCCATTATTCGATAACGTGTTGTTTTTAATTTTTAGCGTATGAATGTTACGTGATAACTTGATAACGGCATATGTGAACCGATTTTGATGATTCTTTTTTATTGGAAACAGGGTAGCTCAGTAGTGGTCAAATTTAAATTTGAAGAAAATATTCTACCCTTAAGGGTGGCAAATAGGGGATGAATGGTTTTTGAGGTCGGTTTCTTTAGTACTGATATTATGAATAATCTATAATTAAAAATGTTGGAGATAATTAAAGACGTTGCTGTAGCAAATGTAATGCTGTTGACGTAAACCTTGCAAGGTCGCTCATTAGTATACATTTTTTTTTAAAACGTCGAAATAATTCATTATCGAACATTAAGTAGTTATATTTTTATTTTTTAATAACATCAAGTGACGGGACGAACATGTCGTGCGACCAATGGTAAGCTACACGCCTGTCCTTTACAGTTACAGTGCCACTCAGAGCTTTAAACTAGGTAGGTACTACCGCTGCGCCTGTCACTCTGAGAGTCGTATTCTAGAACTCTACTCAATGCTCAAGTCCCTTCCATCAGGGTCGTATTTCCAGTGCTTGAAATCATACTCAGATCCTAACTTGAGCATTGAGTAGAGTTCTGGAATACGACCCGTAGACATACGTTGACAAGTCCCATGTACCTGTAATTTCACCAGCACCTTACAGTAATTCTGACATTACTGCTTGGCAGCAGAAATAGATAAGGTGGCAGTACTACCCTGGACGAACTCTTTCACAAGGACCTCTACTGCTACCATAAATGTAGGTACTACTATTAAGGTAGCAATTGATGAAAAAACATTAAATTAAATTTGACCAATTTCTGCTGTCCCGATTTTTTTTTCCTATATAATGCAGTCAAAATAATGAATGGGTCCTTACAAGAAACCGAGTCGATTAGCATTCAAAATATCGTCGATAATATTTAATTGTATCCAATACACGCTTGGACAAAAATTTAACTGTCAAATTTGTTCTTACAAATAATCTCAGTGCAGGCTACTAAAAAACCTCACCAGTACAGGCTACTATATAAAAAACCTCACCGACCTCAAAATTTCGTGGAATTATAGCCAAGTTTTATTGAAATCGGTCACCGGAAAATGCGCGAAACCGGATTCATCTAGTTTGAGAGTTAACGCGTAACATACGTACAAAAAAATGAAACAGTCGAATTGAGAACCTCCTTTTTTTGAAGTCTGTTTAAACATAAGTCCTCATGGTTCCTAACAGTTTCCCTGTACCTGTTATGGTTTGGATTTCCTCATAGCGTCCCGGTTAAAAAAATTCAAATTCTTTAAAACTTGATCACCATCAAGTGTCTAATGCATTTGACATTTAAAGACGTGTGATTCGCCAATTTGAATTTCCTGCAACATTTTTAACGCGAAACTTCCAAGTAAAGAAAGTGATGGTCGTTATCTAAATACGACTAACGTTACGCAACACAACACAACGCAACGCAGAACAACGCAACGCAATTTCCAGTTGAATCGATAAAGCTACGCGAGAACCTTTTTTTTTCATTTTATAATACCAAGAGACGGGGTGTACAAGTCGTGCACCTGGTGGTAAGCGACACGCCTATCCATAACAGTTGCAGTGCTACTCAGAGCTTCAAATCGCAAAGATCTTAGGGTCACTGCCACTGCGCGCCCGTCAGCCTGAGACAAATTGACAAGTCCCATGTGCCTGTAATTTCACCAGCAACCTGACCCTCCAAACCGGAACGCAGTATTTAACCTAATTACAAGTCTCATTGTAATGTTTGAGGTGCGTTTTTTTTGTATCTTGTAATAACTGCGTAAGGAAAAGCAAAATTAACACCTACGACGGAGACTCGAATTAAATAAATAAATAAAAACCATAAAATATTTGCATAGTAATAAACGACATTTGTGTTAATTTGCTAGACATGCTACTCATGCAAAATGACTTGCAAAACAAAAAAACATGAGAATGTAAGACTATCCTTGTTGCCAGCGAATAAGTATAAAAAAGAATTGGCCATATAAGTATGTTCGTATTTTTGCTACGTGTATTGTTAAGATAAAGTTTAAGGTTAGGAACTCTCTAAACATAATAATGATTATTATACATGACACCAAATATTGTCGTAACTCAAATTGTGAAATTGACAAGACACGATTTGAAAGTTCAAAAATTACTGAAAATGAAACCACTAAATGCATTTATTATTCTCGTTTGTATATGGATAACTAAACATGTATAATTATTACATTATTCTCAATAAGATCCAGTTTTGTTTTAGCTTTCAAATCGTGTTTTTTCAATTTTAATTTTTAATTAAACGGAGAGCCTTATTCTCAGTGGGATAAAACTACTACGAAATAGGTAAGTACGTACTTCTTTTAATGTACGTAGTCTAATTTTTGGCTTACCGCTCACTTAGGCAAGATAAAAAAATCCAACGCCCGCAAACACAAAGAAAATTGAAAACACGTATTTTTTAAATAAACTTGTTATTTTATACACGAAACACGTTAACCTTATATGACCCGGTATCTATGTTCATGACCACGAGATAATTTCAGTTTTCTACTTACGCA